TGACATCTTCCTACGAAACATTTCAGCTTTTATACATCAGTGTTTTTCTTTTAGCGTGCTTCAAACAAATTCTCATGCCAGTCAGAGGCATGCCAGTGACCATACTTTTACACACTAAGGCCACAGACTAAAAATGAGAATAAATCTACTGGCTTCTCGAAATGACTGCCAAAATCAGACTACATTCTGGAATTGTATGGAATCTGCAGATAGAACTGTAGTAAAAAAACCAGGCAGTGACACTGCACTAGCACAGTACTTCCTTGTTAGTGGCCTACCCCAAAACAGAAGAAAAAACAAATAAAGCATTACAATCACCTACTTGCTGGTGTTGCAACTTACTTTGCCTAAGTGCCTAATCTTTCACTTCTGGAATGCCAATTTTTCATTTGATGACTTTTTGACCCAGTTGGTTTCTCAGCCTCACTTTTATAGTAAATTTAATTGATTATGTTTTGCAGTGTCCCCTGAAACCTTTGAAAAAGGTCAGACACAATGTTGAATCTCTGCTTAGCATTGAGATCATTCCTTTCATGTCTAAAGAACTTCACAGGTTTAGTAAAATAACACTTTATCCAGGAATTTCAATAGCTGACATTTGGATATTGTAATATTTCTATGAGAAAGGTAACCTGTTTTGTAGAGATAAAAAGGATAAAGAAAATTTCACTTTGAATCCTTGTTACTGGGCTCCAAATAGCTCATAAGAGGATTCTAGCAAGAAGCACCCCCTCACCATTCCTCAGACATCAACTTATCAGTAAATGATGTCATTCTTCTCTCAGTAAAATAATTTTGGAAATTTTATCTAGCAATTAGGCTGCAATATTTTAACCCAGATACAGGAATAGTAACATACAAGTACTTCATCTTGGCAGGCTTTTAAGGAAATATGCATCTATACATAAGAGCCATATTCCCCTCCACCTCTTACTTTCACTGTATAGTGTTGTAGAAGAGAGACTGAGAGAACTTGTTAAGATATTTTTGTGTGCAGACTGGCTTCCAAACCAATTATCGTTCTTGAAACCAACAAACACATTAATAATGTTAGCATTATCTCCTTATTTTTAAAATTGTATTATAACAACTATATATAAAATTACTTTTGAGATCAAGGTATAAAACAAGTTCCACAGAAACTCACACCCTCCCCTCCCTGCACAAACTTAATCTTCTAATATCCTTTGTGTAGAAATCTCCAGTACAAACCATTAGTCATTTCGTTCTTGAGCTAATCGTGGCTCAAAAAATAATTTATTTTGAAGACTCTGCCTACTTATAAAGGACTTTTGTCTAGTTTAATAATGACCAACAACTTCTTAATTTTCTTACATATCTGACAATTCTGCAGCAGCATCGGTACAGCACTCAAACTATCCTTATGATTTCTGTATATAAATCATGGCCTCACTGTTTTTAGGCAAAAGACAGAAAACAAAAGAACTGAAAGGAAATTCCTATTCCTGTGAATTATTTATGAACTATGGTTGAATTCACTAAGTTTTTTAGTGACTGTGGCATCCATGGAATTCTTTGATCAGTGGTAAACCAAGGCAGCTGAGTTAAAAAGGGTATGAAACTGACATTTAGGAATATTCAAAACAGAATTCTCTCCTGGATGAATTAAGAAGCATTGCTAAAGCTCAGGTGGAAGGTAGCGCTTTGGTACAAATGTACCCTTCTGAAAGAAAGTGGAAGGCTCAGGCAGATGGACAGTAACACCTGCATGCCTGAAAAAACAGTAAGAAAAAAATACCTCTGAGTAAGTGAAAACTTAAGACAGTTTGACTATTTAAGCTCAAACAAACAGCTTTTGCCTGTGAGTCTGCATTTGTTGCTTTGTATCACAATGCTAATCACAATGTCATTACTGGTCCTGGTCTCCTGCACATCTGCCATCGACGTATAAGAGCATGGGATGGCCACAGGATACATTTGCACTTTTAAGGTGGTATTTCTGATGTTTCCATTGTAAATACATTATTCGATTTGCTGTCATAGCTAGTGTACATGATAATTTGTGTGTAATAAACAGAATATTGGGGGAGAAAATCTATACAATTAGCACATCAATCAGACTGTTCTGGTACCAGTGACCACGACACTCCTCCATAAATTCTCTTTCATAAGTAATATGACTCATGAATTCATCATGAGGACTAGAAAACTTAACACTATCCAAAGTTATAAATCCTAACAACATAGCATTAAACTTTTTTTTTAAATATTATCCCTGATCTATCTGAATCCAAGAGCAGTCTGTGTGTGGGTACCAAACACGTAACTCTGGCAGTCCTCTGGCAACAGGTGGTGGTAGTTGTACTCAAGTTTGCAGCTACCAGTGTGGAAGGATGAAGGAAAACTCTGTTTTTCTCACCAAATAGAGAGACTGCTTTCTCCCAGTTCAGATTTTGTGCTCTAAATATGGTGTTTTACAGCTAAGTCAATCTGTCCAGGCTGCCCCCGAAATGCACCATTTTGCCTGTGTCTGTATCCTACTTTCCCACACTGTGGTGGCAGCAGCAATCACGTAGCTGTTTAAGGAGGACACTTCTTAGGCAATCTAACTGAGGAGAAGCCAGCATGGATGTGTGTTTGGTTTGGCTGGGTGGCAGTTTTATAGAGGCTGCTTTCACCTAGACCAGTTATCTGATCTGACTACTGCTTTGCCATGTGATCACTAATGCTGATGAAAAAGGGGTGCAAGGGTGCAGGGCCAGGCCTAAAGTGGAAGGTAAAACCACACGTTATGATTTACTTAAGATGCTTGTAAAAGATGACCTTTAATCTCTGCCACCTTACTAGGCTGGTCCGATTCTCTCTTAGGTTTCCCAGAAGATAAGTCTAGTTTGTCTCTAGCATGAAAAATATCATACTGAGGTTCAGAAGTCCTACATGGCCATGTGTATTAAAAGGCTATTTTGTGATTTTTTTTTTTTTTTAAGAGGTTCTGGTTTTACTTCCCTTTCAAGAAAGGCTTTGTTTGGAAAGCAGAATTTGGTTGCCAAATGAAAAAAAGTTCAAGTTCTGGTTTTTGATTAAAAAGGCACTCTTTGTGGAGAAGACAAACAGAAATGCACCACAATACTGTTAGGCTGAAGTATGTTCTTTCTATAGGAGAGTTCAGCTCTTTCCTCAACAACACATGGATGGTTGTTGAGACACATTCAACAAGAAGGATCCAGAGCTGGAATTTCTTTTGTGTCCTCCTTCTCTGACAAACTCACTCCTGAATCAAGCAATGACAATTGTTGCTTCCTCTTTAAGGGACAGGAGCAGGTAGTTTGGTGTTCGTGTCCATATGGAAGCAGATGCGACACAAGGAAACCAGGTGGTGGAAGAGGGAAACATGTTTGATGACAAGAAGCTAATGGGCATGAGGAGAGTTGGCTGGAAACTTCACAGCAAGGAAAGAAGAGGAAACAGCTCACTGCTGATCAGTACACCTTCTTATTGTACAGCATGAATACTGCTCTACTGCAGACCAAATCATGGGTAATGCTAAGAGTTCTTATTTCAGCCAAACATGACATGAATTTCAAGAGGGTCTATGGGAAGGAGGGCTGGGGTGATGAGAGGAAGTAGTTGGGTGACATCAGACTTTCCATTGCAATAGATTTTGAAAGACTACCTCATTAGGCACTATAACATACAGGAAGCTGTAGAGAGGAACCTGTTGATTATTCTGCAAGTTTGTAACACAGAAGGAGATACACAAGTGAAATGTACAGCTGAAGGTCCTAGAATCATGTGAAATCTTGAAAAAGTATAGCAAGATACTAAGACCAGAAACAGACAGGTAGTCACAGTACTTCTGCTACTATCGTCAATTTTGGTTTAGGGTTTTTTAGTTCAGCCTTAACATCCTCCAACCAACAGAAATCAGTTATCACCTTTTGCCACCCTTTACCTGCTCTCTGCTTAGAGAGAATGGGTAGACAATGAACTACTGCTCATATTCACATTACAGGTAATTTCAGAAAATCCTCACAGGTTTAGGAGTCATACCAAACAAGAGGAAGAGTATCTATAGAACTGAGGGAGAAAAGAAAAAACATAGAATCATAGAATCATAGAACAGAATCATAGAATCGATTGGGTTGGAAAAGACCTCCGAGATCATCGAGTCCAACCCTTGGTCCAAATCCAGTCCATTTACTAGATCATGGCACTCAGTGCCACGTCCAATCTGCGTTTAAAAATCTCCAGGGATGGTGAATCCACCACCTCTCTGGGCAGCCCATTCCAATGCCTGATTACTCTCTCTGTAATGACATGTTGGAAAAGGAGGGAAAAGTCAAGGTAAAGACAAAATTCTATACTCCCTTGACCTAATTTTAGCTGGAAGTTGTGAATTTGATTGAGACTAATCAGTCAGGTTCCCTTCATAATGAAACAACACAGTGTCTTAATGCTACTGGAGTGACTTATCTCTACTTTGATGCCCATGGCATGTATCTCAACCAAAGTGGTATCATCTCTATTTCTCTATAGCCCTAAGAGATGGTTCCCTGACAACTGACTTACATCAGATGTTCTATTTCAGCATAGCTAACTTGTGAGCTAAACCGCACTCTCCGCTGAGATATGAACGTTAGGAGTCAAGTTGCTTCAGATTTCACTTAGAGTTGTGAGGGAGGGGAGAGAGAGGGAGAGAGAGAGAGAGAGAGAGAGAGAGAGAGAGAGAGAGAGAAAGAGAGAGCAGAGATTCCCCCTCAGAAGTCAACTCAACTACCTTAGTATCTCAAAACTGTATGACCTTTCTAGCCCAAAAGAGTGCAACAAAGCTTCTGCCTGGCATGGAATATAATGAAATAAAACAGATTAACGTAACAGAAAAATACACGACCGTTTGCTTTAAAAGAAGTTACTCTGGAGCTACAAAAATGGAGAAATGATCCCATAATCTTAAATGAAATGTCCTATGCTTTCATATTTCCAGTTGAAATTACTCCATTATTTATTCACTCTGTATTAATTTGAACATGCAAACCTACCTTTATGGTAACATTTCCTTTTGTTATTTTTCTCATATTGAAGCCTACTGTAGGAATCATATCTTCTGTGAACTGCCCCGACTAGAATACAAAACCAAAATTATATTTATTATAAAACAGTTGATAGAAGCAAGAAAAGTTCACATTTGCAATCTAAAAATTTTTATTTTACAACACTGTAAAATATCACACTAATTTTCAGCAAGACCACTGGCCAGCACTTCAATTACTGCATTGTCACACCAAGGAAGACTGCTCATTTCAGCTCCTTTAAATGATCTTTTATTCTCTTCAGCAACAAAGATCACCCCACAAACCACGAGACTTCAGATAATTCTTCATCTGATCTTTCAGCAAACCAGAAAGAGCATGGCCAAAATATAGAATTATAGGATGCCTTGAGTTGAAAGAAACTGTAAAAGGTCATCTAGTTCAACCCACAATATGATAAAACATTATAAGAATTACTATACCAAGATATTTTCCTGCAGTTTCTCACTACTGTTACCAATGGTTTAACTTCAAATATAAAAAATAGCAAAGGATTACTTATACAGAGTACTACATAATCCTTTCTTCCTGAGTAGGTGAGAGGAGTCCCCATATAAAAGCTGAGAATGACATTAAGACAGAAGAATACAACATACTAACTCAGCACATCATAAACCCCCAGCCATAAAACCAAAGTGCTGCCTCCTTCCCCAGTACAGAGAAATATCTTCACAACAGAGAGACCTGCCATCATGCCAACACGAATCTTACAGACTTCCACCCATTACAGAAGACAGCTTTTGAGGAGAAAGACAAACTCAAATCTAAGTAGATAACTCATTATTCATTCTTCCTCTTGAAAATGTATCATTAACAGGTTATTGTGTCTCCCAAGCATGGTACAATAAGATATGCAGTTAGTTACTTAAGGTACCTCTACATAGAGGCCCAGGCACTCTCTGCAACCTATGCAGCTGTCCTGGTTTTCGAGTCATCCAGCAAGGAAAGCAGGACCTTCTTGACTTGCCACTGCCCTTCTGTATCTATCTGCCCATATTCACCTCTTCATTCCATGTGCCCTAGGGTTTTTTTCTGGAAGAAAATATGGGTATATGGGCAAGGAGGGATGCAGCCTATGAAGTACATTTATTTGCAGAGGACTGACATATAAACACGTGTGAACACATACACCCTGAAAATGTAGAATCATTACTCAAGGACAGGAAAATCAGACAGCTGACTCAGAAGGCTGTTGTTTAAACAAACTCACAGAAAGTCAGGATTCTGCTTTTGTCAGCAAATTATACATCATATGTAATATGCTAAAGTTGAAGGTAAAAATAAATAAATAAAAAACCCAAACCATCATAACTGCTCTGGTGTTGAGGATAGAATGTAAAGAATTAGCAACCCATTCACTGGACTTCAGACTTTTCCTGTAAAAATTTCCCATTCTGGTTGAATGGAACCAGCTACAAAGAAAGTATTATATTTCAGTTCTTTATTTTCCCACACAATGAAGAAAAGAAAGTAATAGGTTGAAGCTTTTGCCCACATTAGTGTAACAGCTCTCATTACAGTGTTTGAGTGCTGTAAGCACCATAAAGTAAAAAAATCTGTTCCATTTTGCTTGCTAAGGAGGTTTTACATGACAAATTACCTATTTTTGTGAATATATAAAATGTGCAAAAAAGTTTATTGTCATATCTCAGTAAAAAACAGATTACATCCTGATGCAGATGAAAAACAACTGATGCTAAAAAGTTTGTGATGTCCTCTAAAAGTTGCTGAATATTGAACTGATAATGAGCAGTCATTACCCCCTACCATATCAACAACCATGGGTCACATTCTACTCCATCACATCAGTGCATGTCCACAGTAAAAGGCAGTGACATTATCCAAGGTTTTCACCTGTAACAGAGGACTAAATATGGCTCAAACTCTTGAGGGGAGAGACTGTCTCAAAGGGTGTTTATTCAGTGTTAGCATGATAGAATCTTTGAATGCTACTGCGAAGTGGAAAAAAGTAGTCATTTCCCATAATTTTTTTTCTTGATCCACTGCAGCTTGCATTTTAAGTTGCCACTATTTCACAATAGTTATTTTCATCTTGTCATATCCTAGTCACATATACACAAACACATATAGAGTTCCCAACCTATTTACCATTCCTGTATCAACAGTACTCAAGAGTAAGCTATCATCCTGAATAAGAGTAAGCCTTATCCTGAATAATTTTTTCCAAATTCTCCAACCACTTTTCTTTGGTCATTATCATGGCATGTCATCTCCAGACTGAAAGATTCAAAACCTGCAATCTGTGGCCCTCCCCAAGTCAGAAAACATGAATGCCTTGTAGAATATTCTTAAGCAAATACATCTGCTGGGAAAATCAGACCTGCAGTAACAGGAGTGCTCTGGTGTTCAAGGTATTAGCATGAGAGACAAACACCTATGACACCATTCCACAGATGGTATAGTACAAGGGAGCGGATGAACATGCATAAACTCTGACAGCACACACTTCTGAAGTCTCTGAACTGCTCTATTCTTCTTTGCTCTGTTCAAGAAAACAATCCAAGAAGCAATGTTATCTCTCATGCCTTTTTCCCTTTCCTCAGCAAAGGCCCAGCTTTGGGAGATGCACACTTCCAGTGGGCATGAGAAGCACTGAGGCCTGTGGTACTACGACCACCTGAGTGCCTAACAAACCAACTAAAATACCAGCTACAGGTATATTCTGTTCACTGATTGCTGATGTCACCCAAAACATATTGTCATTGAGCACTTGCACTATCACATTACTTTTTCTCCTGCTCTCTCCACTTCTTCCCTCATGCTAATGCATAATCTCCTATTTTTCCCTTAATCTATAATCATATACAAAAGCAAGTAACGAATACCATATACTCATGTTTTCATTGTCTCAACCTCTTTGACTTTAGGCCATACACCTCCTGGTCTGCTTTTGATTCATGATCTAGTAGCTTTTCAAGATAAGGACTGAAGAACATCTGGGAACTTTTATCTCATGGCACGTGAAGATGCGATCCACCTCACAAGAGAGATCACCTTGCAGAAAAGGGTATGCACTAAGCTTCATGATTAGCAGTAAGCACATGCAACATATACATATTTGCTTTCATCTTCCAATGGAAATCTTTGGGATGGACCCAAATGCAGGTTGGAGGGCACAGCATACAAAGATGAAGAACGTATTTCAGCATGGTGACAAAACGGAAAATATCATGGTAGGTGTTGGTATTAGAGGCTGCAAGGCCATCACCACAGGGAATGCTGGAATCAGGCTTGAATGCTGGAAAAGAGCTATGGAGGAATTGTGGGAGGCACTAATATTGATGCAACTGATGGGAGGAGAAAATTCAGTGGCAGGCAAGTTGTACCTTGGGGGACACAAAATGTTTTATTTAGGGATACACTGGCCACAAAAAGCCAACTCTGGATCACAGCAAGAGCCCATGCCCGTGAATCTGCTCCGAGACAGGCATGCTTTGCGGTCATATATAGGAAATATCTTCTTTCTCTCTCTGAAAACACTTCCACACCCACCTGAGCCTGCTGTGAAATTCTCGAGGTTGCAAACGACGCAAGAGCTGCCCCATGCCGCCGCCCGCCCCCCTCCCACGGCATCCCACCGCATCGCCGCGGTACCCCATGACAAGCGGCGGCACAGCCCGCACTTGTTGCCGGAGAATGGGCGCGGAGCGGCGGCTCCGGGCGAGAGGCCCCTCCAGCTCTGCCGGGCGGCCACGCCCGCATCGCTCCCGCGCCGGCCGCCCCTCCGGCGGGCCCCGCACCGCCCTGCCCTGCCCCTGCCCTGCCCCGGGCCGGGGACCGCGTACCGCCAGCACGGTGAGCAGCGTGGTCTTGCCCGAGTACTGCAGCCCCACCAGGGTGAGCTCCATCTCCTCCTTCCAGAACAGCGAGCGCAGCCACTCCAGCAGCCGCGCCACCAGCGACAGCATGCCGCCCAGCGCCCCCGACCTGCGGCAGGCGCCCAGCCCTAGCGGCACCGCCTCGCTGCTGGGCATGGGAGCGCCAGGCGAGGCGAGGCGAGACGACGGGGCTCGGGACTGGCCCGGCGGAGGCAGCGGCAGCAGCGGCGGGGCTCCGCGGAGCGCCAGGCAGGGCCCTCACGTGACGGCGCCGCCGCCCTTTTCCGCTGCCATTCGCCGCAGACAGGGGAGGGGTCTGGGCCGCTCCGGCCCGGCCGGGGCGGGCGGGGAGCGGCGGCAGCGCCCTGCGAGGGGCCGGCGCTGGCCGCGGGCGGTGATGGAGCGGCGGGGGCGCGGTTCCGTCACGGAATGGCGGGCGGGGGGAGTGTGAGCGGCCCTGAGGGCCTGAGGCGGCGCACGGAGACACTGCGAGCCCCAGCGAGCGGCGGGGCGGCCCTGGGCACCGCGGGGATCCCATGGGGTGAGCAGCGGATCCCTGAGGAGTGCGGCAGGATGGGACAGACCTGCGCCATGGGTGGACTGTACAGCATCCCACATCCAGCAAGGGTGGCCGAGGGCCGCGCTTTCTGCACTGGCTTGCAAGAGTTGTCGGGCTTGGGCTGCTTGACAGGATCGATTTCCTAGGTCCTTCACCTCCAGCGATAGCAGTTCTCACACCCCTGGGTTAGGACCTCCACTCTTCCCATGAAACTCTTGTTGAATTGGTCGTCGTGTAGTGAGAGGCTTTCAGGTCCAGGGCTTGCCATGGTTTTATTTCTGTTCTCCTGTGACAATTTTGGAGAGTCATGCTTAATATGATTCCTTGCCTCAAGAGATGATTGTGACAGTAGTTTTGTATTGTGGCCAATGACAGGACATTCCACTTCACCAGGAATCTTCTGCCCACATTGGATAAGCAACATTTAGCATACAGTATTGCCACACAGTGTTAGGGAAAGGCTTTTTTTATCCATAAACACAGAGCTAACACTTCACCTGGATCCATCTGCCAGTCTCTGAAGTTGTAACTGAAATTATGTGTGATGCTCTGTAAAGGTTGCAGTGCTGTTTGTATTGGTTGATGAAGGACATTCATGCAAGTATAAAGAAGGCACACATTGAATGTGGATACCTCTACTATTGAAACATAGCAAATTCATCAAAACATTTTGAAATTGGGTTTTGTGGTCATTTTAGAGACATAATTCAGCAATTTAGAGAATGAGGTTTGTGACAAAACCTCACTGGTTACATCAGTCGGGCCACAAAATCTGAAAGGTCTTGAGACTGCTCTGAAGAGCAGTTGGTTCTGGGCTAGCTGTAGAGGTGAAAAACTTCGTGTTTTTTCATGCCTCGGTATTAGATATAGTCAAAATTACTCATAGTGTAATTCTAACAGATTTTTTTTTTTTACAGATACTCATTTATTTGCCCTTGTAAATTTAATTGTGCATTTCCAAAAGGAAATTGGACACTGGAGCTGGCCCTGCTACCCAGTGGGATTATTTTTCATTGCTTCTCTTAAATATGTCAGCTGTCCTCCTGATTTTGTGTTCAATGGCAAGTCTCAAACAAAAGAAGGCTTTTTTTTTTTTTCATTTTTCTGCTATGTATCTTTTTATTTTTAAAAGTTTGCTTTGGCCAAAGCAATTACCAAATTTTGGGTGAATAGGTGAAATGTTTCTGGCTGCCTTAAAGCTGATAAATGTAATAATTTTCACCATCTCCATATATCACTCATCTGGTGATGTGTGGAATAAAGACCATCCGTTTGTGAGAGTGGTTTCTGGGAATGAAGTGGTTCTGATTACTGCATGGGTGAAAACTCACATAAAATTGAGCAGTCTCTAGAATTTTTGCAAGAAGTATTAGATTTTTCAATAGTACTTAAGGCTCATAGTGATGGAAGTTTAATAAGCAATATATTGCAGATACAGTAACATAGTCTCAAAAAGTACATTTCGGGCATATCCTCATAAAAGGCTGGCAGAGGATGTACAGATAAATTCTAAAATATTAATTTAATTGTACAATGACTGAAGTCTTTTACAGTATCCAGGGGTCAAAAAAGTACATGAAAAAGTCTTGGAGGGTTTGTCCCAGTTCAAAGGTCTGTTACACTGTTCTAAAATCTGTTACATCTTTTGCAAAGCTATATGATTGTGAAAGGCAATTCTTTATTTTACAGGCAGTTTGGTAATAGAATATTGTATGTAAAAATATTGCTGCCTTGCTAAAATTACCAGCTCAGAGGACATTTGTTCTTGTCGCTAAAAGCCTGACCTGGGGCCACAATTCGTTATCCTGTGTGACTGTAGAAAAGTCACTTAATCCTTCTGGGAAACATTTTACTACTGATAAAGAATTTCACTTTTCTGTCTTGTCTATTGAGATTTACACAATGCAGGACCAGTTTAGCAGTGTTACGGGACCAGGCAGCACCTAACTTACTGGGTCTTCCAGTGCTCTGTCTCTGAAGGGGTGCTAAAGCAGCTTACTCCATTGCAAAGACTTATTTGTGCTATATAACAATGTATCTTATGTTTCTGGTGAAATTGTGGTGATGCTATAAACACATGGTTAGCAGAACTTGACCTGAATTCACACTGCATATCCAGATGTTTCACATTTGGGGAGGAACGAAGTATTTGAGACTCAGTATTTCAGAGCACTACCAGAGATCAGATCACATTCTCTGTAGTTTAAGCATGCATTTTAGTGACAGTTGAAGATCATAGAATCATTACAGTTGGAAAATACTTCCATGATCATCAAGTCCAACCTTTGACCTTTTCAACTAGACCATAGCACTAAGTCCATGTCCAGTTGTTTCTTGAACACTTCCAGGGATGGTAACTCCACAACCTCCCTGGGCAGATCTTAAGGAGAAGAAAACTTCAGCTGAATGAAATCTCCAGAGAGGAGAGCATGAGAAGAGGTAATATCTCACTCATATTTTCACGTTTGTCCTGATATACCAAATGTTTGTGAAAAAAACCTGTCGAATAAGTCGTGCATCTTTTCTGCCATTGAGTCACTGTGTTAGGGAGTGACTAGTCCTCTTTTCTGTTTGTAGACCAGAGTCAAGCAGCTGTGTTGCTGAAGGGAACAGAAAGACTGTGTTGAACTTTTCAGTGAGCGTCTTGTGATGTACCCACTGGTGTCTGCATGCATCATCCATGTCCTCTGCTAGCTGGAGCCTCAGAGGCTCTTTAGTATGTACCTTAAATTCTGGTCACACTCCAGTGAGGGAAGAGGTGAAAAAGGATTCCTGTAAGGATTGTTATGCTGGTAGAGCGGGGCAGATTAAGGCTTTTAACTCAAAAATGCTGTGGTTTGAATACCTAGACTTGGTCTCTGCAGTTCATGCTGAAACAATGCATAGGATTTACAGACAGCCTAAGTCTGTTATTAGTCCAGCACCCTTAATTACTGGCTGCCCCAAAAGTAAGGTATTTTGTGCTTTTGTTGTGCCATTAACCATTTTATCGTTTTGGGACTGCAGGATGCCCTTAGCCTCCCTTTAAATGGGTGGTTGTTATGTCCCTGCCTCAGGAAATCACCACTTGACACAGGCAAGCTGTCATCTTGTCTCAACCTGCTATTAGCCTGAGGGAGCAGTGTCCTCCATGAGACTGCCAAAATATAGTATATTTCTTCTGCTGGATTTTGAAGTTCTGTTGAATAAATATATTTCCTGATATGAAAACAAAGGCAGAAACAGGTGACTGCATGTTGTCTAGTGTCCACGTGTATATACCGCTGAACATGACCATCTGGAATTGTGTGCACAGAGCCAGAATGTTGGCTGAATATATAAAGTAGTGATTCACATTAATTTTCATACTGTCTGTTTGTGTCTGATTGCTAATCAATAAATACCTTATCAGTTATAAACTAAGGGTTATACAAGCATACACTGAAAAATGTCATCTAATTACTACTGACCAAGGGGAACTATAATCAATATACCATGATGCTGATAACACATTAGTGAGCATAATGAAATCCGAAGTTATTCCCTTAAGGATGCTAATATTGATAGGCGCCCTTTACCTCCTTGCCCTTTACTTTCTTGTGTATAACAAGGGGACAATAAATGGAAGCCTTTGCAGTCCTGAGTAGTACTGACAGTGAAAGGTAGCTGCAAAAGGTTCAGAACAGCTACACAAAAGAACGGTTCTATAAAAACCCAGATCCTTGTCTGGTATGCACAGTAGCTTAGGATTGATCTTGAATATGATCTGTTTACATGACCATCATCATAATGAAAAATATCATGAGGCAGGGTTAATTTTCAATGGATTCTTTTCAGAAAAACACACAGAAGGATCTGGGATAGCCATACATTGGGAATCACTTAGCAGTGGTAAGGAATGAAGTTAGACTAGGAAGCTTTTTGAATCTCTTTCCAGCCACCTATACAATGGTTTTCAGTAGCACAGGAGAAAAAAATGCCAAGCAAGAACAACAACAAAACGTTAAGGAAGAAGAAGTTGTTGTTAAATAAAGCAGTAATTATTATTTTCTTTTTTTTTTTAAGGCATGCAATAAACATTTTTTCCTATCAATGTTATTTTTTGGAAAGAAACTCATTACTCCAACTTGAAATCTCAGACCCTAGTTTTGCGGGCTGTTCTGCTTTGGCAGAATGGGCATCTGCCAGTGCAAAGGAGCTGACACAAGCACATTGTGAAAAATCTTCCAAGTTTTAGGTATGCATGTTTGAAGGATGGAATTTAGTTGTCATCTTAAAAAGGTCATCAGTGCTCCATAACTGAATATGTTTTAAAATTATATAACTGTCTTTGCTGTCTTGTTGTTGGTATTGAAAAGTGATGGATAGGTACAGGTACAAATCTAATCTGTCTGGGAGTTGTCTAGTACCTATTGCATAGGTCTGAAATCTTCCACACAATTCTTTGCTGATATATATACAACATGGTGTCTTAGTGTGATGCAGGGATTAAAGCAAATTTTGCTGAATTCCTTGAGATGCTAGTCACATCCTATGCTGTCTACAAAGTGGTCTTACTGGCCTCTCAAAATATTTCTCCATGTTGCTATTTTTAATACAGAAAAGCAAAAAAAATGGAAGACAAGGACTATGTTTCACTTCTGTTCAGTTTCTCTAAGTGTCAACTGCCATCTCTCTTTGAAGTGCCAATATCTTTAAGTGTCCCAGGATAAGCAACACAATAAATCAGACTCAGATTCTTCAGACAGAAAAGCAGAATTTCAGTTAAAATTTTAGCAAAATGTCTAGACATTGAAGGAGGGCATTCCAGGTAGTTAAACTGCTTTCACTTAGACTCTTTCATCAAACTCACTTTAGCATTCCCTGTCCTTAAGTATTGCCAGTCTGAGTTCAGCCTAGAACAGAAGTACGAAATAATGAATGGCAATCAAAGTGAACTGTTCCTCTAGTATTTAATCTTTTGAAAAATACAAGAACATAAGAAATTAAAATTGTAAGGCTAACTAATGATTACAGGAAATACAGTAAAGGGAAGGAAATATTTGTGGAAGGGGGTCCACTTTAGGAGAATACAAGTTTGGCTTTGAACATAAGATGGTCACCAGCAATGGTGATGGTCACCAGATGGTCACCCCTTTCCTTCTTTTCTGCTTTTACTCCATGGGGACTCATTGATTCCATGGTGACTCTTAATCATAGAGTATAGGTAAGGCAAATGTAATACAGAGCAAAGTAATATATTTGGAAAATGTTGTAATTTAACACATATCAGACCTAATTCCTGAAGTTTGTAAGATTTCAAGCATGAATTGCAGATACGTGTAGGTAACAAAAACAATCCTGAAGGAACATTTAAAAGGGGGTTGGTAAAGTATGCATCAGAGCACAAAATAGATAGGTACTTATAAATGCATCTTAGGAAGACACAGTTTATTGCAATAGTCTGCTTTCCTCTCACCTTCCTTTTACTTTTCTGGTCCTGGCTGCTCTCAAAAAAAAAAAAAAGAGATGGGATCAGATGAATAGGTCTAACATATCAGTTATTGTGTTCTGTTATCTTTACAGTGAGCCTTGGGGAAAGGTTTTTAACATTAAGTACTTGGTAGATAAAAACTGTTGAATGGAAAGAGACTGGTCTATCTCCACAGCTTCACTCTTGCTTTTGCATTTAACTTCCTCTGCGTCCACTAGGTGGTCCTGGGTGCTCTGTTTCATCTCTTCTGTGATTTTAACTTCTCATTCTTTCTTTTCTGGTGATTTCCTGCTTTCTCCATCACGAGTGTTTTGCTTGCTATTACTTGGCTGATAGTGAAAATATTTACGGCAAGACTTGTAGATTTTGCGAACCTGCAAGTGGTCTTAGCACAAAATGCTATAGATCCCGTGTCTTTCAGAGCTCTGGATAGAAACAAGCCTGACCTCAGGAAGCTTTACCAGACATTTAACAAAATTGCACAGCCTTTAAACTAGAACTCTGTGTACCAGCATAAAATCTTAGCCATGTTAAGGCATTCTGAAAAAAATCAAAGTTCATATAAGTCATGAAAGTTTTGCTAAGATATTACCAGTCATGTTTCCAGTGAAAAAGCATGTTTTGACAAAGGTGATCAAAACCAGCTGGATTCTTTTCTGCTGAGCAGTCTGTTACATATATATATATATATATTTATATTTGTGATTCCACTTGAAACATTAATGGCAGAAATAGCTTTGACTCGTGGACTTATCACCGTAACTGGAATGAGAAAATTGTCACATCCTCTTGATAACTTGCTGTTCAAAAGCCATAAAACACTATTTCTCCATGTTAAGTCTAAAGGCTTCATCTATTTTTCTGCACCTCTGTTATGACCAACAACCTGAAAATTCAAAGAGAATGAATATAATTTGTGTTTTCTGCTGGATTAAGGAATGAACTTTTTATAAACAAATGACTACTATGAAATCCTTGTTATTTTCACTAGTGAGGCAGGCTCTATCTGTGGAAGGGGGTGAATTATTTATGCAGATCATGCCTAGCTCAAGGGGGATTTTTTAATGTATCCATGCCAACAGCCACTCTTCACTCACCGGAAGTCAAACTGTCTATTGAGCACCTGACATAATAATTTGAAAAGGTTATTTTATCAAATAAACTGCTGTTAATTGCTTCTAAATGCTTAAACTGACTATATGTAAATCATAACCAGATTCCTGATATGATATTGGGAGTACTTTTCTTCTGAGGTATCTCTGCTACTTTCACACTGCTTTTGGCAATGGAATAGTATTAAGCAAATACTTTCAGTATTTGTCAACAGTTCTGTCAGCAGACTGGATCAAAAAGGTGGTTCTGAGATTGAGGACCATGGGAAGTGAATAAAGGGAGTCCCAGGTCCTCAGAGTCACTCATCTTGCTGCCTCCACTGCTGGGTTTTCCTGAGGAGCAAGTTGGTTTCCACCAAAGAAAATATGCTCAGGAAATAATGAAGCATAAAGTCCCATGTTCACAGACTTTTGTCCAAATACAGCCCTATCCAATTGCTAGGGGTGGCTGGATGGGGAAACTGGGACTGGTGACCAGTGCTGGCAGGGAGTGCAGAAGCAGAGCAGATGAGTTGTCAGCATTGGCCAGATAAAACAACTGGAAGCCAAGGAAGGGACATCTGAAATAAGGGGGAAAGTTCATGAGAAGAAAGGATAAACCATTACAGCTCAAATTTTAACTAATGAAGCTGTAATATTTGAAGTCAACAATTACATTAAACTTAGAACCTTTTGAAGAATTAGAAATATATTTAATTACAAGAAAAACCACAGTGTCCCTATAGATATTGTGAAAAGTGGAGAAATATTACATAAGATAAATTTTATGCTACAAAGTCCCACAGATCTAAAGTTAAACCAAATATTTTTAAGAGCTAATTCCGTTCATATGGAATGAAATTAATTCTTGCATAGAGCATCAAACCTGATGAATTATTTTATGTATTATATATTTAACTGTCTTGACTGGAAGTACACAAAACAGCATTGTCACAATTTTTTTTTTAAATATAACAGTAAAAAATGTAAACTGTAGAAAATGTTTTGTATTCTGGATTATCCTCTCATATAGTATAGTCAGTATAACAGACCAGTATGTCTTTGGCACAAATAGTAGTTTATAGAACTAAACTGAAGAAATACATTCAAGCTGAAGTGTCATCTATGAATTATGAAAAGTTACCTGATACAGATAAGACCATAAGCCTTTAGGAAATTGTTTGTTTGTTTGTTTTGTAAATAAAACCTTTAGAATTTCAAACATAGCCAGGGAAAAGAATATTCTCACTTTCATGGGTCATTTGTATTAAGGTTCTCAAAAGTACAATTAAGCAAAACAGATTAAACATCTTTATCTTATAGGATGAAGAGCTACTGAAAGTACGAGTATCATTTGCTTCTAAATCATATCTACTGGCAGCTGTGACAGTGTTATATTCTGCAGTTGTTATATTAAGTGTATTATTTCCAAAGGTAGATTGGAAATCTTCTATTTCAGGATGTGTAGGTAATGTCACCTTACTCTCAGAGGCAAATGAAAATGCAGTTCTGTTAGACAGGATCTTTTCTTCAGAGGCTTCTATGTTAGAAAAGGAATTTGGGGATATCTGAATGCAAGTATCTTCTGAAATGCAAACATGGAGGTAATGGATGTCATTGATATCAGCTCTAGGTTCACAGCTGTGCCCTGCATAACAGTGGCAATCAAATTTTTCTATCAATGTTTGCAGATCCTGAAACGATGGTTGCCCTTGCAGACTGTATTTCCCATCCTTTGTCATTTGAATTACAATATTCTCAGGGTTCAAGTGAAGATAGTCACTGGAATTCCATTTTTTCCGTGCACAAGCACCAGAGTCTTGGCATAACACTTGGCTACAGATTCTGGCTGCCATTGTGACGTTGATGAGGTATGGGGTCAAAGTCCTTCTGAGGTAGTTGTCCAGAATTCTACAGGTATTCTGTGAAAAGAGCATCATACCTCTGTAGTTTAGTATGGAAACCATTAAAATGCTATCATTCCAATAACAGTACCATAGTGTATATTTATAATTGTTTCTCCTGAGGTTTTGATAATAGCTATAACTGGTTGTTGGAAACAAGTTTATCTGAGAAGCTGTTATAAAATTCAAGGATCACAGCAAGTTTATGTTGTGTAGTTGCTGGAGGTGTTACAAAAAGCAGACAACTTTAAGCTTTCATTCTATCTCTATATTTCATGTAGTTTTTTTAATCAGATGCATTTAAAGAAGTTTCAGGAAGGATTGAAGTTCCTTTTAATGTCTCGAATAGTTCAAAGGGATCCAGTGAAAAAACCTCACTTCTTCAGCCTGAACAAATATTTTTTCTCTCAAGCCATCTCTGTGAGACTCTTCAGATTTCCCCTGGCCTGAATAGCTAGGCTGCAGGGTAGTGAGCTTTCATGGCATTTTGGAATTGAAAGAATTTTGGTTGGATGATCAAACTGGAAGTATACTGAGAGAATACTAAGAGATCATTCTAACTGATTATGAAATTGGCATATATTCTGTGTATGCTTAGCACAGTTTAATAACGAGAGGTTTTGGGAACTCTTTCTTTGTTTCTGACACTGTGCCTCCTTAGAACATTTGCCCAATGCCACATATAGATTCAGATAATGTTGATATCCATGGAGATAGCTGAGGTATATGTAGGGTTTTTTGTTTTTCTTTTAGGTATATATAAAAACACAAGAAATTTTGGTTGATGCAGAAGTACAATAATATTTAATTTCTGAAGGGCTAGTTAATGTGAAAAAACAGGTGCAATTAGTGCACAAATGCATAGTCTGACTGGGCTGTGGAAAGTTCATTTAACAGGAATTTCAAAATTCAGGTAATAAAACTTGCTGCTCATCTATGTTATAATATTGGAATAATGGGCAAAAAAGTTCTAGGTGCAACCTGATATCCTTTCTCAGGGGCAGGCACATACAAAAAGGTCAAAGTGGAATGCCTTGGTGAATAAGACTCTTACAGAGCTGTGGAGGTTTATTTGGCCATGCTTTCTGTAACAGGAGGTGTGGCAGGGCTGAAGAGTTTCAGTTCTTTGAACACAAAGGACTTCACTAGAGTCTTCCCAGTTCGTTATATCTAACTTGCCTGGTTATGAATGAACTAGCTAGAAAGATTTTTTGAAATATCCTTGTAATAGTGTTTCTCAAACTATGTATTTCCCCTTCCTAAAATAACCTAGAGGTTTTTCCCTCTTCTGACTCAGATCTTTCATACAATTAAATGAAGTAGTACTTAACAACACACAGAACAGGCTAGGGCTGAAATTTTACAGACTGACTCCTCCTAGCGCTTTAAATGTTATTACCAAGTGCATTCAAAAAGCAGAAGGGTCTTCTAAAAATTGTTCTGGGCAAAACCAAGTAATTTTTTCTTTATCTCATGACTGGAATGTAAAGAAGATATAGCAATTCTTTACTTACATTAATTAAACAAGTGCTAACTTGCCTACAGTTATCATGATAGTTTGTCCAGTTACTCAGGGCCAACAGCACTGATACTTTAAAAGATTGAACTCTTGTTCTGTGAAGTCAATGATGATCTTCATAAGCCTCAGATGTGCTTGGGTTTTGACTATAGAAAGCTGCTGGCAATATGGAATCATCATTTTAAAAGTAGAAGATATGATGTAAGTAATCAAAATGCTTTATATCCTCTCCACTTTATTGCTTCTTAAAATTTTCATATAATAATTGACCTGGCATACCTTATTTTGTGTTAAATTCATATCACCCCAGATCACAATTCCAGAAGCACCCAGTGCAGCAGATTCTCCAATGGTATTTACCAGGTCATCCTGAGGGAAAATGTGCAAAGAATCATACTAACACAAGGGCAAAAGGTATAATGCATATAGAAATTGCATATCCAAAATAACTATTTTGAAGACAGCAAGCAATTATACATGGTGCAAATGTTTTACTCTCAACTGCACAATTTTATTCTGGGATTGAATTGCACAGGTGATGCCAGAAAATGTTGCCAACTATATCCAATTTATATATGTCATCTGTTAGAAAAACAAGGCTGTAAAACTGAGCCAGTGGTTAGGCATATGACATACACTCCTCCAACCATTCTAAGGTTTATTTTGCTGCATTGCCTCCTTACTGCTCAGAGTTGGTAGCAACGGGTTTCAGTAATGTTGTGGGAAGAAGATGTGGAAAGCACAGCTTTTTTTTTTTTTTTGAACTTAATTCCAGTTACCAGGAAGTGCTAAAACAGAAAAGTAGCAAGAGAAAGAGCTTTCACCAGCAAGAATCTCTCTTCTCCAGAGAATGGCTCTGGCCTTTTACAGATATTGATTGGGGAAATTTGTTTCTGTTCAGTTCTCCTTTTAGGGTCAGCTATTAACACAGTCCTAGCAAAATGTTGAAGCCTATCTGGATGGGAGAGGACTATGGTAATGAAAAGAATAATATAAAAACAACTTACTATGGGAGGACAACACTAGAAAAGGATTAATGTAAAGATTATAGGAATTAAATTATTAAGTAGGATCCCAGCAGGGCCTCTGACATTACCCCTTGCTCCCTGATAGTATACACAGCCTGGGGGGAATGCCTGCTGATGTTCTATCGAGAATATGAAACGACACCAGCTACAATGCCATCAGCAGGACCACAGCGTCTAACTTCCTCTTCCTCATGTCCTGGAACACCAGGAAGAGATTCCCCAGATCGATGGTATCTCTGATGGGGTGAGTGTCTGTAAAAATGTGAAGGAAAAAGTATAGCCAGAACTGCAATAAGATGATTGGATCTTAATCAGAGCCTAACCTTAACTAACCCATGAGATGCTGAAATACCATTTAGAAAGCTACCCAAGTACAACTAAGGACAGAATTTTCTAACTAGCTTTTAACACTTTTTAGGGAAAGAAAGACTCCATTTTATTGTAGTTTTTTCTTATAACCTAAAATGCAGGCATTAGATCAGCCCAGTTTTAATAATTCTCTTTGGAAGAGGTTACCCATATTTCTTTCCTCTGACTTAATGTACTAAATATGCTTTCTAGCTTTGTAATATTTTGTTACATGTGAGGACAACTCAGAGAATAAAACACTATTTGATAAATATAATAAGGTTTGAAAATAGACCTCAGTGTTCTGATTGATGAAATTTCTTTGATGGATGAATTTAATTTTTTCTATAAAATTGCACACCTTTTTCTGATACAAGTTAGCATATTTGCTAAATAAGTGTCACCTGGTAATTTCTTTTCACATAAATTTGAAATATTTAGGGTCTAGCTTCACTCACCTCAGAGAGATATTCCTCATAGACATCTGTGAATACTGGACGTGTATATACAAAAACTGGAAGGGGATGAGTAGAATTAGAGACATAGGAAGTTCTAATGGCTTCTTGAACTCTGTTACGAACAAAGAGCTGGGCATTTCTGGAGGATCTTAAAGCTGTCTCTAGATAGACAGATGGATAAAGTGCTGTACTTTTCTTCCATAACCAGTTAAGCTCATTATTTCTTTCTATTTCAATATCTAAACAGGCTCCTGTATAATTATGTGGGTTTTGTTTGTAATCATAGTTATAACAGTCTGGATAGAGGTAATATCCCCACAGACGATTTGGCTTCATTTCTATGCCCAGCTTCAAAGTTTCCAACATGAATGATTTTGCTGCAGCTTCAAATTCCATTTTAGCTATAGTTCTGGCTTCGGCCTCAGATAGACTGAGGTCTCTCTGCTGAACCAGTTCAATGGATTCCTGTCTATAAATGTCTTTTGATCCCCAGTTCCTTATCCACATGGGTCTCCAGTTTTCCCAGTCAATCACGGCCAATCCAAGCTGTTCATCTGAAGGAATGTAGAACTGGATGTCCTCTTTGGCTTTTCTTAAATGATTCTCCAGCAGTGAGAGTTGAGGAAGTCCTCCGTTGAATGCCTCTCCTGTGACTTCATTTTTGTAAGGGTAGTAGCCAAGCCTGTCTGGATAGAAGAGTGTGATGTTTTGCCCAATGGATGTCTTCAGTGTGCTTCCAATGAGAGGAAAAAAATTCATGTCCACCTGCACTCCAGTCCTTTCAGTACAAAGTTCTGTAGGAGCATTCCAGATAGAAACAAAAGGTGAATTAGAAAAAAGTGGACGAGCTCTTATGGTCAGAGATGAGCCGCAAGAAACTAGAAGAGCGGTGAACACCACACCAGATACTACGGGATACGTACGGGTAACACAGATGCCAAAGCTTTGTATTTGCCTTAGAGTTTCCATTGTAGCATGTGCAGTGACATTAGGTTCTTGTGATTAGACAAAAATTAAATGCTCTCTGGGTGTTCAGAAGGTTGGTAGTCTGTCAAAAGCCTTACTGTACAATATATTTCTTCAGATTAATACCTATTAAGCAATATTCTTTAGGCATAAAATAGGGGTGTCCTTTTTACAGTGCTTTCTGTCATTTCAGGCTGCAGGAAGCTTCTCAACAATTTCTGAGACCTAATGCAGAAAAGGGGGCAAATGTAAATAAAGTAAGAAATTATAAATATTTCGTTTTTAACCATGAAACAAATACCATTTGTGATTTTGAATATATTGTAATGTTTGAGTATAATTATCTTTTGAAGGAAAAGAACAATGTACAATCATATACATATAAACTGTATATATATAAAACTGTAGATATAAAACTGACAGTGGAATAGTATTCAGTGACTCACGCATCCGAGTGAGTGTGCTTGGAAGTAGTCCTGATTGTGCCAATTACTGATATCTGTAAACATGAGCAGTTTCACAATGGCTTCTCTAAATCAGCAGTAATGTATATGTAGTATTTCTCACCTACCTCAAAATAAAATTCTAGCTCTTAAATTTGTTAATTTTACAGAGTGCTTAAGGAAAGATATAAGATAACACAAAATTGAAACCTGAACTGTTTTACACTTGCTAAAAACAAATCCATGTATACTCATTTAAATCAATGAGGTAACTGAAATATTGTAGGCACTCTATCTTCTGTCTAGAGCTCTTTTAAACAGGCTCAAAAACCTATGGTAAGTCTTGGTATATAATCATCTGTGTGTTCAGGCCATTTGAGATGTACAGATTAAGTGCCCCCGAGTCAAAGTCTGCCCAGTTCATTAGGAAAGCTGAGGCTGTCAGTACACCCACAGTGAGCAGTCACATTTAATTTCATTCAAAAACATATTAGTGGTGGTAGCCATAGTACAGTCATCAACTTTTACATAGTAGCCCAGAAGCTAAAGCATTCCTCTGTGCAGTAACTCCTGAATCCACTTACCTTTTGATTTTGAAATTGGTCAAACCTGAATCTGTCACTTTCTGTAGAGGCCTCATGATGAGGCTGTAAAGTATGTAAGGATTATGTAAGTGTGCATGAAAATATAGGAGTCACCATGAAGAGGGCCCCAGGGTGGCTGACAGTGCAAAATCTCTGAGGACAAATTAAAAACAAAGCAAAAAAGATTTTGCTCTGTATTTATTGAATTCAGCTAGGAGCAGAAACTGCAAACCTTGATATAGAAGCAGTGAGTGGACTGAAATCTAAAAATTCATACAGATATTTTATCATTCCACAGCTGCTGATGTGATAACTAAAGAAATCCTGCCAAGAATCAGTTTCATAAGCTAGACTTAGATCATAGATCTGATCACCAGGAAAGAAGGTATGGCTCTGTTCATTTAAATTGCTCCAAGAGCAATACCTCATTTGCGTGGGATCAGCTTGACGAGACTTGTAGAAAACAGGGCTGCATGTACTACTCAGAGGTGACAGCAGAAGAAATACATCTTTCCTTTGAGCTAACCAATTTTGTCTCTCTCAGCCTCTCCTCCTATGACAAATACTATAATCCCTTATTCATCTGTGTAGCAATTTGCTGGATTTGTTCCAGTATGCCCATTGCTTTATTGTACTGAGAAGCCCAGGGGTGCACATAACACTGCAGGTGTGGCATTACCAGTTTTAAATAGATGGGAATAAACACATTACTACATTACTTGACCTGTTGGTGGCAGGTACTCTTATTAATGTCATCCAGGAGGCTCTTGGTCTTCATTGCTGCAAAGATGCATTGCTCACCCTCTAAATGGCAGCATGATTCTCTGGTATATCAACCATTCCTCGCAAGTTTGGATTGTTTGTAAAATTGCCAAGGGAGCACTCTAACCCATTGTTCAGCTAATTAATCAAGACCTTAAATAGTATTGGAGCCAGTATGAACCCTTAGTGTACATTACAGGGAACAGGCTTCCAGCTGGACTTGGATGGGCCTCTAGCTGGACTTCCTAGCACTGATCACAACCCTTTGAGCCTGACAGTTCAGCCAGTTTTCAGTTTCACTGTCCATTTATGTAGCTTGTACTTAATCAGTAAGAATGTTACAGGAGACAGTGTTGAAAGACTTGCCAAAACCAAGATCAATAAATTCTCTCTTGTGCTGTCTGCCAGTGCTCTCCCCTTGTCCACCAAGCCAGTCATCTCTTTGTAGGAGGCTGTCAGGTTTGGCAGGCATAATCTCCTCTTTATTAATACATGCTGACTACTTCCAATCACATTCTTGTCCCTAACATCTGTAGATGTTTTCCAGAATTATTTGCTCTCTCAACCTCCCAGGGATTGAGGTGAGGCTGGTCTGACCAGCCTATAGTTCCTTGGACCTCCTTTTTTAACCTTTTTTAAGGCATTTACTGTCTTTCAGTCCTTGGAACCTCCCCCAATCACTGTGACCTTTCCAAAATTATCAAGAGTGACCTTACAATGACATCAGCAGCTTCTTCAGCACATACTGCTCCTTGTGGGCACATACTGTTGTGTCCCATAGACTTGTATGTCCAGTTTGTTTAAATGTTCCCTAACCTGGGCCTCCTAAATGGAAGGTACATCTTCCTTCCTCCCATGTAAGTCCTTCCCATGGGTCTAGATTCCTAAAAGCCAGTCTTTCCATTAAAGATTGAGATGGAAAAGCCATTGAGTATCTCTGCCTCTTCCTTGTCCTTTGCACTGGATCTCCTGCCTGCCCCATTCAGCGTTAGGCCGCTGTTTGTCTCCTGCTGTTCATAGACCTGTAGAAGCCCTTTATGTTGCCCTTCACATATCTTGCCAGAATCAACTCCAAATTGGCTTTGGCTTTCTTAAACCCCAACCCAGCACCTCAGACAGTGTCTCTTGTTCACTCGTCCCTGCTTCCACCTCATGTGGGCTTCCTTTTTGTGGCAAAGTTTTGTCAGGAGCTCCTCCTGCCATTGCTTGATTTCCTCTGTGTGGAGATTTTTGAGCTTGGAAGAGCTGACTCTTGAAAATCAATCAGATCCTGGACACTTCTCTCCAGGGCTGTCTCCCATGGAATTCTTCCAAGCTGATGCCTCAAGATGCCAAAGTGCACTTTCCTGAAGGAGTGGTTATGATCTTGCCATTTGCCTTGTTCCCTCTTTATAAGATCCTGAACTCTATCTCATAGTCACTACAGCCATGACTGTCCCCAGCCTTTACCTGCCCTGTTTGTAAATGTGAGGTCCAACAGAGTATCTCCCCTTGCTGGTTCCTGCATTATCCCACGTGAAATTTCCTGAGATGGTACAGACTGAGACTTCGAGGACTTAAAGAATTCCATACAGTAATTCTGAAGAAATATATTTTACATTTATGCAAATACAACTTATTCAAATGAAATAAAATTATCATACATAAACAGCTTATACAAACTGACATTTGCCGGGACAATGATCCTTTAGGTAATTGGTTTTGTCATTACAAAGCGAGATCACCTCAGAGAGGAGCTGTAGGAGTAGTTCAGCTTTTACCGTGCCTCTGGCTTTGATTATAAAAGACTTTTTGCCCCCGTTGAAATCAGAAAACTACAGGACCAGGACACAAATTGTATTATTAGTTCCTGTAAGGTTTTTTTTTTTAATAAGTGGATTTCAGTAAAAGACTGATTTGATGTAAAGGAAAAGGGGAAAGCATTGTTTTAAATACTATATTTACTAGTTTAAATAAATTCATTTATTATTGGCTAATCTTGCAAAGTTTGATTTAACTGATTGTTGGGAAATGGTTTTCCTCCAAATCTTGCTCTAATGTGCTCTACTGGGTATGAGTTAATAGGTTATTTTATGTGATAGTTTCTGGTTAAGAGGATTGCCTTTGACCCAGCCTAATAATGACAGCTCTGATAAACGTTACTCTCTTCAGCCTCCTCGAATGTCTGTCTAAGTGAGCTGAGTCATAAAGCTGCCCTTGTCTTTGTCAAAAAGTCAATATCTTTACAAAATATTAACACTAATTGCTCAGGGGCTACCTTACTAGAAGTAGATACTGATGGATCTACATGCCCTTAGTCTATGGAAATAGCTTCTGCTTTAGATTTTCCCAAATCTGGCATTTGTAAAGGTTGAGTATTAGAGGAAATCATATTCATTTTCTTGGTTTAATTATTCCATCATTTTTCACAGCATAAACAGAACTACAGAAACATACAATTGAAATTCAAGTATGCTCCTGTGTTTTGGTAACCACAGAATCATAGATCTGGGCCATGCCATGTATCCCTGAAAAAAAAAAAAAGCTTCAGTTGACCAAAGACAGCTAGAAAATGAAAGGGAGAGGAGTACTATACATCCCCTTGAATGTCACACAAATGGATGTTGTGTATTCCACCACAACTGGATGGTGTATCTCATCAAAAGTCATTTATTAAGCTGTTGGGCTGTTCAAAAAGTTTCAGTTCAAAAGGTGCCAGTAAACATTACAGGAATCCAGCTTTGAGTTTTTTATGAAAATTAGACATGAAAGTCCACATTTAGCCTTGAAATAATTAGACATTGCTTAGTCAAGTCAGATCTGCTAACCTTAAACTTAAGCCAATAAGCACAAACAGTATCTGACATTCTTGTGTTAACAGTATTAATTACACCTACCAAATTTCAAGCAAAAGTACATAAAATCTTGCACTTTGCCTGTTTTAACTTGAACATATGAAAGCAAAGGTTCATATGAACATATGAACAACAGCATGTAAGAACACTTCTAAGGCTGAGATCATCAATGTAATTATTACTTTAAGTGATAGTTCTCAAGTGTTTATTAACTGTTGCTTGCATTTCAAACAGTGTGTGTGCTATTATCTGTTAATTAGTGACATAATAACAAAACAATAGTGATGTGAAAATTGGCTGGTCTTTTCCCTGTGCCAAAGAAACTATAGATACAGAAGTCTGCATGTAGAACTGCAGTTTTTGGTGGGGCAGAAGAATCTAGGTCTTTCATGTAAGTTTTTAAATCCCTGTGAAGCTGTGATGTAAGATGTGTAGTCAAATATGCAGGTGGGACCAGAATATTGAGGATTTAGTCCCTATTCTTTTGTTTTCATATAAGCACTAGCTATCTTAGTGTAGAAATATCTCCTGACATTACAGACAAAATACAGTACTAGACAGTGTACCTTATAAGTTCTTGGGACAAATTGCTTTCTGTCTTCGTTTATCTGAAGGTTAGAAAATGTAAACATGTAAAAAGTCTAAAGACTCAACTCCTGCTTCTGTGAAGATATCAGCACTGATTAATTCCTAAGGAGAAGTAGAACAGACTCCTAAGGAGCAGAGAAACAGACTAAGGATATATGAAATTAAATGTTAACATATTTAATCTTGGAACCCAAAGCAGAATCCAAAGCTTTTTTTAAAAAAAAAGAAAAAGGTACCAGCAATATTGATACAGCCATAAACTTAGTTTCTCTATATAGTATCAAAGCAGCACACACTGCTAGGGAAGAGCTGCCTAAGGTCAACATTTGTGTTTTTCGTAAATCAGTGCAAAATATTTAAGGTGACTGATAAATCCCTCCTACTCTGTCCTTGGGTGCCCCAGGTGGTGCTATTGTGAGAAATGACCCTATTCACTTCCATTCTGTTCTGGAGGGGTCTTTCTTCTGGTTGAAGGGAACAGTATCACTGTTGGAACTTTGAATTAAAACTTCCTGCTATTTTAGAGGTGCATGTTCTGGACTAGGGACTGTTTGTGATAAACAGGTGTCGAAGTCATGAAGGAGCCACAGAAGAAAGGGAAGAGTAACATTGTAGTTATATTGTAATCCCCACTTGTATAATTTTGGCATTTCTTAAAGAGAAGGCAATGATTCTCAATTAACAGAAACGCACATGGGTGTTGTGATCATAACATTAACATTTGTGAGGAATAGGAAGCTCCACAGAAAGAACATCCACTTCTAGAGATATGAACTGTCTGTGCTGCACAGCTGATGGCAGGTTTGACCTGAGAAGGGTGGTCTTTGCATATAGGATGTAGCCTCATTGTTACAAATGTGTTAAGCTGCACTTGTCTGTAAATTCAGAATTTGGTAAGCACCAGTCTTGACAGTGGTTTTAAAAGTCCACCCTCATTTCAGTCTAATCTTCTCAGTTGGGCTAAGGCAACTGTTAATGAGGCCATGTAATGAATTGTTTAGGTTGAAAACGTGTCAGTTGAAATATAAGAGAGAAAGGAGTTTTTTATGACTGAGTACATGAACCAGCAAAACTGGCTAGTTTAGCCAGCATGTCTGATTTAAGACTGCTTGTCAAACTACACCCCACTCCTGTGGGCTGTTCTTATCATCAAGAACTGCCAAACCATCGCTTTCATCATTGCTTACTCCCATTCTTTATTTCTGAGCACAGGGTAATGAGTGCATGAGGACCTGAAGCCTGAAAAAAACTCCAAAGAAATTTCATTGCCAGCATTTCTGACTGTGGAAGAACTCAAAATGTGCCAATGAGGTAGAGGTCAAGAACTGAGGATCCAGGTTGTAGACCGCCCCCCATAAAAATGTGTATGCAAAAGATTTAGTCACACTACTTTTTCATTATTTAAATGAGTTAAATATATGGTTTTAACTCACTTTATTTAAATGAGTTAGAATATATGTTTTTGCTAATATGCCCCAATTATTTTCATAGTCTTATGATGACTACTGTGGTGTTCATGACTAGTTTCTTGAATTAGGAAAATCTCTATCCTCTTCATTCTCTTTTCTTTTCTTTTGCAAGTTCTAATTCTCAATTTTATAAAAATTCTCAATTTTATAAAAATTCTTAATATCCTAACAGCCTGTTTATTGATGTTGTAATTTGGTTTTTAGCAAGTTAGCCAAATAAACTGTCTAAATACATTTCCAAGAGTATTTGGAAAAATTTCCTTTCCTGTGTTATGTGTAACTAGGTTTGGCAGAACTCAGATTCTGTAATGACAATTTCCATTGCAGAGGAATTGGGGACAAGATAAAGAATCTGTCACGTGTGACTTTACAAAGTATTCTATCTTACTAAGGTTATTCTGCAAAATGTTCACCATCTGCTGAATCTCTAGTATTTTGTGACAAAACAAGTCCAAACGTATTCTCTATAGCAAGAAATCATTGCATTAATCATTACATTAATCTAGATAATTAATAAATTATTTACACTGTAGCAAAAGTAGCTGTGCCTTTGGAAAAAGGGAGATTGCTCTGGAGAATGCCTGGGGAAGAGACCAGAATAGGCTTTTGATTAATCCTTGAAAGTACTTCAGTATTAAAATTAACACAGCAGTCAGTTCTGTATGTGAAACTGTTTCAGTCACAAAATTATACCCTCTTTTTTAGAAAAAACAGAATCTTCAAGAAAGACGGTAGTGATGTTCCCTTTCAAAAGTAAGGGAGCAGAAACGCTTCTGGGGTAAATGAAACCTGAATGGATGAAATTGTTCCTGGATTTTCAGTAGCCACGCTCCATGGAGTGTGTTGCTAGAGCAACAGAAGGTGGAGGTGGAGGAGAGTCCTCAAAGCAAATTATCCTTGGAAATAAATATGTATTATTAACCTCAGTACCAGCTTGTACATTAACATATGTCTTCACAGTTGCAGTTTCAAGTTCTCTTTTGCAATACCTGAATGCTCTCTCTTTTTAATCTTCCTCTCCTGGGACTTTAATTCATTCCGTATTCCTTTCTCCCACATGATTATATATAAATAAATACAATCTGAGGAAAATATGATACTACAGTAAAGAAATAAACCTTGCCTCAAGAGTAATTTCTCTTTCCTACAGTGTCTCTTTTCACCTGCTGATTCTTCACAGTCCTCACACAGCCTTTTGTTATTTTGATAAACCTACTAATACCGAGGAGCTGGTCTAATTGCCACCCATCCCTGGAGATAAGTGGGAGAGATGGGAAAGCAGATGTAGAAGTCTCGAAACAAAAGCGAGTACAAAGCTATGCAGAACACCGGTGATTTATGAAGGAGACATTAACATTATCGAGCATTGTTTTGGGAAGCAAGTGTGCAGAGAATTAACAGTTTCAACGGAAAAGAAGAAAGGAGCACAGCTGGGTCTGCCTGAGCAAGCACATTAGCATAACCCTTGGAGAAAGCCTGAGGAAAAGGATTTAGAGGTGGGAGTTAAAAGCAGGGTCTCTGAGCTCTGGCTCTGAGCTGAGCAAACTGCGAGTTCTGTTTATTTGGACTGGCCACTGCTTAGGGCAGCAAAGCTAGTGCTGTCGCTATGGACATACAGCTGGGACATCTGACCCCATCACCATGTTGCTTCTAACTGAAACAACCTGCAAACCTCACAAACTTTGGCTAAACAGCAAAGCTGAGAAACACAATGATGTCTACTGTTTTTAAGGTTAAAAGACCTTAACATCTGTCATGTTGAGAGAGTGAATTTGCACCACTTGCATGGGAGCTAGGACTTGGACAGCATGTGCCATTCAGGCCTGGCTCTCACTACCCATATCCTCACTCCCCTCCTGGGAGGCTTCAGTGGATACCCATTGCCAGCCCACACCTGTGTGGGACTGCCCAGTACGTGCTCCAATGCTTACAAGCAACTCTGACTCAAACCTCTTGCCTCAGATATTTTGTGGATTGTCTTGCTGGCCCGTGACTTCATGTAAAAAGTGGCTATTACACTGCAACATATCATTTGCCAGAGTTGAAAGACTGAAAACATGCAGGTGTCTTTTCTTTCACCCCTGATTAGAAGTATTTGCTAGGGACAAGTAACTTCTTATTAAGCTTTCACAGACATAAGTGTATTCCAGTAGACTCCTAAAGAAACAAAAATCCCTATTAGCCTACTCTTACCTTTAAAGGAAACATATTCCCACCCACTAAGAAAAATTGCCTAGACTAACAACCTAAATAGTTTGAAACAAGACTTACTTAAAGCAAGATTGTTTTAACAATTTTGTTTATCTGGAGAGATAGGTCTTACTCAATACTTCTGACAGCTACATATGTGCAGTTAATAAGTAATTTTGTGTGTGTAATAGTTCAATGAATCATTTGCATTGAAAAAAAAAACTATGCTGAGAGAGAAACAGGTGATAGTGTCAAACGCAGCTCAGTGTGTGTAACACACAGGTAAAGCGGTTGTTACACCTCATGATGCCTGACAATCTTTCTGGAAAGTCCTACTAAAATTTAACTTCCCTGTCTGAGATTTGAATTTAAAAATAATAAAAATTTAAACAGCATAAAAATAATGCACAATGTGGTTGTTACACTTTAGGATTCCTGACAATCTTTCTGGAAAGTCCTACCAAACTTTACCTTCTCTCTCTGAGATTTGAATTTAAAAATAATAAAAATTTAAACAGCATAAAAATAATCAGTAAATACTCACCTCCAGACAGGCCAGGTCTTGCTGGAGTGAATGAACAGGTGAGCGGACAAAACAATTATCTTTGACTAGAAAGGCAGGGCTCTGACCCAGCCAATTGGGATTTGTCATTTGTGAAAGCCTTAGCATAATTATAGGGTAGTTGATTAAAGGTGTCTCCTGACACAGCTGATTGCAGTAAGTAGTATAATAACACATTACCTGTTAGAGGTCTTGCACCATGTTCCATCATTTACTGAACAAATTCTTTGAAAGAGTTCTTTTTTTCTACAATAAGAAATACAGTTTGACTTAATTTTGTTTTTTGATGTAACAGTGACTGTTCAATGGAGGTAAAATTTTTTTTCATGGCTATACAGAGGTGGGGTGGGGGAAGCAAAACCGTGTTCTGCTTTGCCAGAGTGTAGAGTACCCCCAGGCGGTGGATCCATGCAGAGTGGAAAACAAGGTCGAAGGAAGAGATCCTGTGCTGGAGAGCAGATACCGAGGTTGCCGTGCTTGGAGATCACTGAGCTGTGTGCCACACTGACTCTCTGACTGCTCTCACAGAGATTTGGCCAGGACCACTGGAGCATCCTTAGCAGATGTTGATGCAGCATTCGTTAACACCCACATATAGATAATTAAAAAACCTTCCACTATTTGTTTTAAAACTGCTACCTCTGATTATGCTCATACAGCACTTTGGATTGAGCGCTTCGCACAGCAATGGAATGGCAGCAGTGCCATGGGTTAGAGCAGTTTTGAACTGTGGACTCTCTGTTATACTTGCAATATGGCAATTTAAAAAGTATTTTTCTTCTTCCCCAGCATAAAAACAATTTTGTCTTTGGAATTTCAGTGTCAAGATATTAATTTCTATATTGAAAGGGTTTTGTCATTTTAGAAGTCATATATTATGTTTGTGAAATATTTTTACTAAGTTTTTGGTACTTCTTGACATATCCTGCTTAAATGTATATAATGATAAACCTCCAAAATTAGAAAATAGTAAAAATATTCAGTTATCTAATTTTTTAAGGTCAGCTATAGAAAAATTATTTTAGATAATGATTCAGAAAAAAAATTTAAAAATATCAGTTTATAAAACTATTCTAAAATTATAAGAAAAATATTCTAAAGCTATTTGCTATGCTGAAGAAAGAAGATGGAATAGAACTTTTCAAAACACATATTTTCATTCCTCAGTAACATCCTACTATGTGTTACACTTATTTTACATAATAATTTTAAAACAATATTGTTTGGTAAAGGTCTAGAAAAAATGAAAATAAAGTTTTGAAATTTTCAATGCCAATGCTAAAATATGTTTTTGTCTAGGTTGGATTCTTCTGCCTGCTTTTTTTTCATAGAAAATAGGCAGCCAGCTTCATGTGTCAGAAGAACAAGGAAAATAAGATAAACAGTAATTAGACTATGTAGGTCAAATTACTGCATAGAGACTCAGGGTTGCTGTTGCTGTTTCAGTCCAAGTTGTGGACTACAAGACTTTTCCACTTCATGTGTAGCAGCAGCTTTCTTTACTGTAACATTGCATCTTTATAATGCAGGATCCACTCCACAGAATTCTTACAGACAGGATCCCATCTGGCATCTTTGGGACTCATTTTCTGTCTAGCGTTCACTTCCTCAGTCAAATAGGGATTTCTTCCCAGAATACACCAGCTCTTTCTGGCTGCAGTATTAAATAAAGAAGTGAAATAATTCTCAACATTTGAATGAAGCCTTACTGTACGTGGTGGAAGTGATGGGGAATAGAATAAAGCCAAGGAAGGCTGAGGAGGTACAGAAATGGGTCTGCAGAAGTACGAGAAACAAAAAGAAAAGAGGTGCAGAGAACAATGATCAAACCATTCTTCACACCCCATTAACCTACCAATTTGTCTCCTACTTCCAGCAATATACCCTCTGGCTTCTATCATCAAACTATTTCTTTCAAAACAAGACCTACAGTTACTGATGTAGATGGTTCTCATCCCCACAACAAGCCCCACAGAGGGATGGTCTGCAAATTATTCATTCCAGTACTCTTGGGCTTCTCTGTGGGTACTGCTCAATGTAAGAACAGCCTCACTGCCTGCTGAGGCTGCCAGCAACAGCATTAATTTTTGTTTTGGGTTTTATGATGTGGACATCTGTCCATTAGCAACTGGAGTAGAGCCACCAGTATCACGCCCCACAGCTGCCAGCCCATCAACAGGCACTAACTATTTCCATTTGCTACTGAATGAGCTGGA